CCCCCCCCCCCAAAAAAAAAAAAAAAAACTTTTTTTTTTGGTCCCCACGGAGGATAATCTGTTGGTTAGCTTGAGACGGCACTCCTAACCGTTTTGGGCTTATTCAAATTGTTGCGTACGACGAGCAGACGTAGGGCCGGAGTTTCGCGGTGGTTCCCCCCCCCCTATCGCTCTCGTCGCGGCTTCGACTAGCGTCTGTTTCCATTGGCTGGCCTGGCTTTTCATTCACCGACCCGTGGGGTGCGTAGAGAACGTGACGTCACCTGTCTGCTATATATGTCTGCCCGGACTTGTGTGCGGTCAGATTTTCATCGACGCAACAGTGAAACAAAGTTGTTTTTTAGCAAGCGAGTTCAATTTTTTTTAATATATAAAAACAAAACAAGATATATATCTAGCATCTCTTTAAAGGTTAGTCGAACTTGTACATTTACAAGATGTGCTTCTGTAATGTTTAATTAATTATTTTTCTTTTTTTTATTTTTTTATTTGAGTTTGTATGTAAAATATTTGAATTTTATATAAAATATTTAATATTATCACAATAACTTATTGAAATACTAAGTCATAATTTGTGTGTAAAGGTGATTGGGGGTAGATAATATGTTGGAAAAGGAGTTTTAATAATAAAAAGACTTTCAATTTATTGCGTCAGCTAAATGAAATTTTAAAAAAATTTTAACTCATAGGAGGGAAAATGTGGTCAAAATTGAAAATTTGTTGAAATAGTTTTTTTAAGGAAACATAATTAAACAGAAAACTGCAATAGGAATACATTTATAGTTTTTTGTGTTTTTTTAATGAAAATAATTTTCAAACAAAATCAAAATAATATTATTGTAAGCTCAGATGGACGTCTGTAGGTCATAGCATAGAAAATGGACAAACTTGGATGCATGGTTAAATTGTATGAAACGTTAAATTGGATGAATGATCAACTTGGATGAATGGTTAAATTGGATGAATGGTGAACTTCGATGAATGGTGAACTTGGATGAATGGTGAACGTGGATGAATAGTTAAATTTGATGAATGGTGAACTTGGATCAATGGTGAACTTGGAGGAATGTTTAAATTTGATAAATGGTGAACTTGGATGAATGGGGAACTTGGATGAATGGTGAACTTGGATGAATAGTGAACTTGGATGAAGGGTGAACTAGGATGAATGGTGAAATTGGATGAATGATAAACTACTTGTAAACGCTTTTGTAACTGCAACAATAGGTTTCATGATAAAAAATTTGTTTTTTTTTGTTTGTTTTTTTTTGTTTTTTTTCAAAAATTAATAGTTTTCAAATTTTAGAACCACTTTTCCGGTTTTAATGTATTATTTTCCAGCTATTTTCCGATTTCAGTAAACTTTTTTTTCTGTTTCAGTATACTATTTTCCCATTTTAAAACACAATTAATCTGTTTTAGTACACCATTTTCTTCTTTATGAATTCAACAAATCAATGTCATGGTTCTGACCTCCATAATGAGCTGGTTTTCTTTTTCGTCTCAGATCGCAAAGAGGAAGGACATACTACCAACCGAAACATTGTTGTGATTTCTGCAAAGAGCGAACAAAATCCGTTGTTTGAATCCTCCAGACGAATAATTAGTCATCTGTCTGCTGTGTGCTTCGCTAGTACAGCTCACCCACTACAGTACGGCCATGGTTACACTAATCCACTGTGTCGCTCTCGCCTTGTGCCTCATCAACGTGCCTGACTTCACATTTGCCTTTCCTAGGGTAAGTCGAGACTACTGTCGGCTGTTTATTTCTACCTCACCAACGCTTTTATGTCTTAGTTTAAATATCACAATGTTACTTAAAAATGCGAAATGAATAAACACCATAGTGTGGTTTTTTAAAAATATTTTTTAAAGGAATATAATAAATAGTGGAACAATATAGTTTAGGCTTGGAAAAAAAAAAAAAGAACAATTAAAATGACGTTTCAGCTAAATGCCTTCTTGAGGAGACGATACAAAACAAGAAAAATAAATTATTTGACATTTGATAAAGTAGTATCTTTCTTAACGGACAAACTTTGATGGTGTGTGTGTGTGGGGGGGGGGTTGGGGAAGTTCAATGCATAATATAAACGTGTTACTTTTTTTTTGGTCTTTTTTTTTTTTTTTTTTTTTTATTTTTTTGTTTTTTTTTTTTTTTTTTTTTTTTTTTNGCAATGGAAAATCACAGAATTTTGACCTGGTATAGCTATTTATAGTCAGGAACTCCGATGAATCACCAATGGTCACAAAGCAGAGATGGCCCCAAAGCCGTAATGTGACATTGGACACGGACGAGGGATCGCGTACTTTGCCCTTAAATGGGTCAAGCTAGGGGAGTTCCTTGGGGGGGAAATTTTTCCAGTGACGACAATGGATGACCGTTTAAAGCCACTAGAGTCCATACGAGTAATCTATACACCCACGCCGTGACTTGTCACATAGCCACCAGAGTAAGGGGGGGGGGTGGTGTGTGTGTGGGGGGAGGGGGAGGGCGAGACGGGACAACGCCATTAACGTGATGGGGGTTGATGATCCCGGGGGTCGAGGCAATGTATTACCGTTTGTAGGTGCGATGTTTCATGTGATAGACCAGGAATTACGGTCAAAACCACTGGTTCCCATGGGTTCCCATTCCAAAAAGAGTTACGGAGCATGCGCCGTAGGTCGACTAATGACTGAAAAAATCACTAGGATTGTGAAGAACTTTTCCATGTTAATCTGTTTCTTTAAAAAGTTTGAATAATTCCAAAATGATCCCACCCATTTGAAACATCCTTCTATTTCTGACATTTTTTTTGTTTTGTTGTTGTTTTGTTTGTTCTTGTTTTTTTTTTATAAATATTATTATTATTTTTTTTAATACATTGGGGTCGCAAGTCCCTTTGCTTCTGTAAAATGGGGGTCACGACAAGGTCGAGTAACTTCAGAATAAAATAGAAATCGTTCTTGACTTTTATTATTAAATATTTAAGCAACATAAAACAATGTGTGTGTGGCGGGTCATAATGTTCCTAAACATGTGCTGCCGCCACACTGACTAAATTGTAAGATTGATGGTGCAATTAGAGCCGTCGCGTGGGCCCTCGGGTATTCAATGGGCACTCTGATATTTTAATGGGCCCAAAGTTGTGATGCTGAAAAGAAACTGAAACTATTAACTTTGAGTTCCGAGGGCTAAAGATAAAATGTAAGGGGCAAAGGGAGGTTGGGGGAGGGGGGCGCAAAAGACACGCGACGGCTCTGGGTACACACAAGGTGTTAGATAATTGTCGGAAACCTGCCGTCCCCATTCTAATTTGTATAATATATATATATATATATATATATATATATATATATATATATATATATATCAACATCATCACGCGCGCTAGAATTTATTTATTCTTTTAAAAAATTAATTTAGCTTCTCGTCTAATTATTTTGTTGAAATAGCAGATACTGTTTTAACTTTAACTTGATAACAAATCTACACATCTCAGTCTATCTAAAGCGGGCACTGCATTTTTTTTTTTTTTTTTTTTTTTTTT